CTCCCATGCGCCGGGCGCGGCGGCGCCTCCCTGCATCCACGCCTCTCGCCTTCGCCTCGTCTCGCTCCTCCAGCTGAGAACGCCGCTGCTCCCGCGGCCGGCGATGCGGGGCTCCCGCGTAGCGGCGTCGCGCTCGCCCCTGGGCCTGTGCGCCCTGGTGCTGGCGCTGCTGGGCGCGCTGCCCGCGGGCACCAGGGCGCAGCCGTACCACGGCGAGAAGGGCATCTCGGTGCCGGACCATGGCTTCTGCCAGCCCATCTCCATCCCGCTGTGCACGGACATCGCCTACAACCAGACGATCCTGCCCAACCTGCTGGGCCACACAAACCAAGAGGACGCGGGCCTCGAGGTGCACCAGTTCTACCCTCTGGTGAAGGTGCAGTGTTCTCCCGAGCTGCGCTTCTTCCTGTGCTCCATGTACGCGCCCGTGTGCACCGTGCTGGATCAGGCCATCCCGCCGTGCCGCTCGTTATGTGAACGCGCCCGCCAGGGCTGCGAGGCGCTCATGAACAAGTTCGGCTTCCAGTGGCCTGAGCGCCTGCGCTGCGAGAACTTCCCGGTGCACGGCGCCGGCGAGATCTGCGTGGGCCAGAACACGTCGGACGGCTCGGGGGGCGCGGGCGGCAATCCCACCGCCTATCCTACCGCGCCCTATCTGCCGGATCTGCCCTTCACCGCGCTGCCCCCGGGGGCCTCCGATGGCAGAGGCCGGCACGCCTTCCCCTTCTCGTGTCCCCGCCAGCTCAAGGTGCCCCCCTACCTGGGCTACCGCTTCCTGGGCGAGCGCGACTGCGGAGCCCCGTGCGAGCCGGGCCGGGCTAACGGCCTCATGTACTTTAAGGAGGAGGAGAGGCGTTTCGCCCGCCTCTGGGTGGGCGTGTGGTCGGTGCTGTGCTGCGCCTCGACGCTCTTCACCGTGCTCACCTACCTGGTGGACATGCGGCGTTTCAGCTACCCCGAGCGGCCCATCATCTTCCTGTCGGGCTGCTACTTCATGGTGGCCGTGGCGCACGTGGCGGGCTTCCTGCTGGAGGACCGCGCCGTCTGCGTGGAGCGCTTCTCGGACGACGGCTACCGCACGGTGGCGCAGGGCACCAAGAAGGAGGGCTGCACCATCCTCTTCATGGTGCTCTACTTCTTCGGCATGGCCAGCTCCATCTGGTGGGTCATCCTGTCCCTCACTTGGTTCCTGGCGGCCGGCATGAAGTGGGGCCACGAGGCCATCGAGGCCAACTCGCAGTACTTCCACCTGGCCGCGTGGGCCGTGCCTGCCGTCAAAACTATCACCATCCTGGCCATGGGCCAGGTGGACGGGGACCTGCTCAGCGGGGTGTGCTACGTGGGCCTGTCCAGCGTGGACGCGCTGCGGGGCTTCGTGCTGGCGCCTCTGTTCGTCTACCTCTTCATCGGCACGTCCTTCCTGCTGGCGGGCTTCGTGTCGCTCTTCCGCATCCGCACCATCATGAAGCACGACGGCACCAAGACGGAGAAGCTGGAGAAGCTCATGGTGCGCATCGGCGTCTTCAGCGTGCTCTACACCGTGCCGGCCACCATCGTGCTGGCCTGCTACTTCTACGAGCAGGCCTTCCGCGAGCACTGGGAGCGCACCTGGCTCCTGCAGACGTGCAAGAGCTACGCCGTCCCCTGCCCGCCCGGCCACTTCCCGCCCATGAGCCCCGACTTCACGGTCTTCATGATCAAGTACCTGATGACCATGATCGTGGGCATCACCACCGGCTTCTGGATCTGGTCCGGCAAGACCCTGCAGTCATGGCGCCGCTTCTACCACAGACTCAGCCACAGTAGCAAAGGGGAGACTGCGGTATGAGCGGCGGCTCTTCTCCCAGCCTGCGCCCCCCCTACACACACCCCGACTTCTTTGCTGGGGGCGGGGGTAGGGGAGAGGCACTCACTATAGGGAGCGAAGTGCTGGTTTGAGGGGAGCTGGCAGGGGGAAAGCTGGGTTTCGTAACCCACCCCCTCCACTGAGAGTTGACCTGGAAATGAGAAGAGATTGGAAGTGATGGGAGGTTTGGAGGGGAGGCTGGGTAGAAAGGATGAAAAGACTTCTGGCAAAGACTTGCAGGAGGAGGAGGAGGAGGAGTTGTTCATTGTGAAAGGTTTGGGCTGGCTAGGGCCAGTGGAGTCGGCTGAGAGCAACCGAAGCTGCTGTGAGTTCTTCCCGCTCTGGGCCGAGCTGGGGCTGCGAGCCGTCCTCCCCCGCTGCAAGGCAAAAGTGGCTGCCCCAGCTCCTGAAAGGCCTGCGGAAAAGGTACGGCTCTGTCTGCAGCCGAGGCTTTGTTGGGGAGAGGGGGGACCCCTGCCGTGTCCTTGTCAAGCAGTGTTCAAACCATAATCTCTTTTCACTAGGGCCAAACTGGAGCCCAGATGGGTTAATTTCCAGGGTCAGACATTATCGTCTCTCTTCCCCTACCCCCCTCCCTCCTGTTTTTCCTCCCCTACTCCTTTCAAGTCTTGGAAAATAAGCATTTGGAAGTCCTGGGAGGCCTGCCTGCCTGCCTGCCTGCCTGCTACAATCCTAACGTGAAGATGCAGAAGTGACGGTCACATTTCAAGATGAGGCCATGGAGAAGAAGAGTAGCTATTTTGGCTACTTTTTCGTTTTGTTGGGAAGGCAGCCTGCAGAAAGAAGGGTGTTTTATTTTATTTTATTTTATTTGGTTTAATACCTTGAAAAGAAGTGATGACTTGTTGCTTTTCAAAACAGGAATGTGTTTTCCCTCTTGTCTTTGTTATAAGAGACAAAAGAGGAAACAAAAAGTGTCCCTGTAGAAAGGCATAACTGTGAAGACAGCAACTTTTATAGGTAAATCAGCACAAATCTGAGGTTTCCTTTTAGTTGTTAATTTGGTTGAGATAAACATTCCTTTTTAAGGAAAAGTGAAGGGCAGTGTGCTTGCATACCCTCTCAGCCCGCGGATCTGACTTGGATAAAGGAAATGCAAGGGGTTTTGTTTGTTTAAAGCACGTTTAATTCAGAACATATGATCCAACAGGGTCTGTTAAAGTGTTTAGGGTAATCCTCCCCCCCCCCTCTTTCTTTTCCTAGCTATAAGCTTACATTTAGCCTTCATCCTATTTTCCCCCTCCAACTGGGATAATTCAAGATAAAAGAAAAAGCATAATGCCCTCAACAGATTCATAAAAGAAAGTTAAAAATTTTAAGGTTAAATTCAAAATTTTTATAGTTAAAATTTTTTAAGTTAAAAGGTGAACAACCATTTTATTTTATTTTTCTAGTTCCATATGTCTTGTAAAAACATCGTGTGTATATTGACCCTGTTTCTGCTTAGGTGGGGAGGTGATCTGCACACTGCAGAAATGATAGTAAATGAAGCAGAAAGTTTAAACCATGGGCCCCATTTTTTAAAGAAAGTCATTAAAAAAAGGTAAACTTCAAAGTGATCCTGGAGTTCTTTGAAATGTGCTGGAAGACTTAAATTTATTAATCTTAAATCATGTACTTTTTTCCCCTTATAGTAGAACTCTGGTTCTTTTGCTTAATGATGTAAAACTGAGCAGAGGATCGTGGGAGCTGACCGTCACTTGGCTTTGACACTGCCCTCCAATCTTGCCATACTGATTCTTAGAGCAGCTTTGAAGGGCTGGTCAGCAGGTACTGCAGCGGGTACTGTCTGGAGTACAAGTTACTTAATATATGTAACATTTGGTTGAGAAGAGCTGCTCTTATATGAGATTTCAAAGTTGACTTGTATTTTTTAAACCTTCAAAACTGACTCACCTGTCAGTTGTGGTTTTGGTTGGTTTCTTTTTAAATGCCACCACCCAGGTTTTGGCATCTTTTGTGTTGTATCTCTTTTAAGTGCATGTGAAATTTGTAAAATACAGACAAGTGCAGTATGTATATTTTGTAAATCTCCCGTTTTTGTAAGAAAATATATATTGTATTTATACATTTTTACTTTGGATTTTTGGTTTGTTTTGCCTTTAAAAGTCTACAATGAAGCCCCCACTTTATCACATGTACAGATCACAAATAAATTTTTTTAAAAACACAAAAGGAATATTTATTTGCTTTAATATTCCTGTGCCACTAAACGGGGGGTGGGGGGAAACCCAAAACTTTATTATAAAAGCATCTGAGGGGCTGGGAATATGGCTTAGTGGTAGAGTGCTTGCCTAGCATACATGAAGCCCTGGGTCCAATTCCTCAGTACCACATGAACAGAAAAAGCCACCAGAAGTGGTGCTGTGGCTCAAATGGTAGAGTGCTAGCCTTGAGCAAAGGAAGCTCAGGGACAGTGCCTAGGCCCTGAGTTCAAGCCCCAGGACTGGGGGAAAAAAAAACATCTGACGGACATCATTGCGTGTGTCCCCCAAAGATGATGTTATTCAGGTCTTGACTCTCCTGGAATTTTGTAGCTGCTTCCTGCTTCTCTTCACAGTCACCCCATATACCCTAAGCCTTTTCTCATCAAGCTTTGGACAACCTACTAGAGGTACAGAACACACATTTCCTCAGAGCAAGCCCTATGTTCTATGCTTACTGATCTTAGAGGAAGACCATAACTGAATGAAGAGCTAAAAGATACTTTGTGACTATGCAAGAGCTAAAAGATACTTTGTGACTATGCTGTGCTATTTATCTAGAGATCCCCACACCCTTGGGAATAATTCAGATGCTGATCACTGGTGGCAGTTGCCTATAATCCTAGTTATTCAGGAGGCTGAGATCTGAGGCTCAAGGTTCAAAGCCAACCCAGGCAGTGAAATTTGTGTCTCCAATAAACAGCTGTGGCTCAAGTACAAGAACACTTGAGCAAAAGAAGTCCAGGGAAGGCCAGCAGGCCCTGAGTTTAAGCCCCAGGAGGAATGGAGGAGAGAGAAATTTAGTGAGCTTGGAAGCTAGGGAGATACCTCCTAATGCACTTTATCTAAATAGTTAATGCTTGGGTGTCCTAACTGTAGGGAAAGTCCACTGAAGCTTCCAGATAAGAGTGGAAGTCTGTTTCTAGAGTTTTGAACTAAAGGCTTCCCTCTACCTTCTAGGTAACCTGAACAAGAGAACAGCAGTGACTCAGCAGCTCTGGCAGAAATAGACGCCACGCCTGACCCTGGGGTGGCCTCGGGAGCCACCAGGCTATTCTTTGCTCTTGTGGAAGAGGCCAGCTTAGGAGTCAGATGGGGCTGGAAGGCCTTTCTCCTTCCCCCCCCCCCCAACACTTTGACATTACTGACATTACACAGCTCCTAGGGGGCTGCTCAAGGCTTTCTCAAACTCCCTGGAGCCTCATATTCCTTACCAGGGTTTTTCCGCCCACCTGTTATTTAATTCAGGTACCAGCTCCTCCACCCTCCCTCCCCCAGCAGCAGTGGAGACCCCGCAGCAGGCTAGGTTCTGCTGTTTCTCCAAAAGCATAACAGAAACAGTTGTGTTTTTGTTTTAATTAGCAGGCTTACACACATGGTGGTGGGTTTTCACAAACGCTAGCAGGAAAACCAGTGACAGACAGATCGCTCCAGGAGGAGGAAGCCGCCTGTGTGTAGACACTGCAAGGCAGATTGTCTTTACGATGCTCCCGGGGTTTTGAACCTCACAATGAGGGTGAAGTTATCCTCACGAATGGAGATTTGGGCATCAAGGAAGGAAGAAAAGAGCGACTTCAAGTCTCTTAAGGTTTATCCAGTTTTTCCTCATAAAATGACACCCTTTATGTTAAAGCATGCCTCTTTTAACACCTTGCTAATACCGCCTGTTAAGAATGTTTGCTTTCAGAGTAGGTGGAAGATTCCCAATGGGTTTTTAGGGTTTTTTTGTTGCAAATTAAGTGCTAAAGGCACTTAGGCCTTTCTGGGGAGCCATGTGGCGGGGCCCTTCCCCTTGTCAGGGTTGCGTGGTGTTGTTGCAGGGCTCTTAAAGATTAAATGATGTTGGTCCTTCGCTGGAGAACAAAGACAGCATGTGAATAAATTGCTACCTGCTTTTTTGGTAAGCAAAGATAAAAGTGTTCACTTTAATTCCTTTCACATGGTGATGCCTTCTTTATGAAGTCTTACCTAAGAATTATAGACAGTGGAGGATTTTTCTTAAGGGGATACATTTTTAGCAGAAAATAGGTGAGGGAGAATATTTGTCAAAGAGCACACAGAGAATTGGAGAAAAACATTGGCAGCAGTTTGGTGTTAATCCCCAGATAAGGAGCCAAAACACTTGTGAAAATTTTCTGCAGTTTATAAAACAAAACCAGTCTATACAACAATCCCATGCCATGCTTATTCTTTTAAAGTTAAGTAGGTGAGAAATTTTTGGCCAAAAATAATTGTCTTGTTAACATCTTACCATTAATTTTTTTTGAATATTCTTGCTGTAAAATGGTGATATTAGAAACTCGGATAGAATGATAGTCATATAACGGCTGTGGGTTTGAGTCCTGTAATTATCCTGAGGAAATCTCCTCCAACTCTCCCATCTTTAATTTCACTGCAAAGGCAGGTGGCTATTTATAGATGGTATATTTATATATAGACATATGTGCACAGTGAATTCCAGTCTACAAGGCTCCAGGAAATCCTAGAAGGGACCCAAAATTCTCAGCACTTAAATAAACAATTCATAGATGGGGTCTGTTTTCCTCTTAGCCCTTTGGTGCATTAAACTAGTTTCATAAAGTTTACTTCTTAAGTTCGTTTTATATGCCTGTGTGACCATACTGGGGCTTGAACTCAGGGCTTGAGTGCTGTCCCTTAGCTTTTTCTGCTCAAAGCTGGTGATCTACCACCTGAGCCACACCTCCACTTCCAGCTTTTTGCTGGTTAATTGGGGGTAAAGATTCATATAGACTTTCCTACCCCAGTTGGCTTTGAGCTATGGTTCTCAGATCTCAGCCTCCTGAGTAGCTAGGATTACAGACGTGAGCTACTGGCACCCAACTTTAAATTCTTCTCAATATATGACTTTTCTTATATCTAAATTTGTATTCCTCCGATTTCATATGAAAGCAAACTAGTTAAAAGGTATCATGAAAATGTCAGTTCTTTTTAGTAAACATACGCTGTGTTGCTTATTCTCTTTGGCTGATTTTTTTTTGAAGTCTTTTAGAATTATTTCAATATCACTGTGTAGAGAATAAAAGCACATTTGACAATAGTTTACTACAAGTGTTCTATTTCTACAAGCACTGATCAACAGCCAGTAGGTAGAAGGTACCAGAGTCTCAATGCATGGAAGTGAAAAAGACAAAGACTTTCTGCAGTAAGTAGCACCAGGCCTACTTCAGAGTGAGGATGACATCTCCTGAGGAAGAATAAGGAATTGACCACAGTGTTGGGCAGTCTTGGCAATGGCATGAGAGAAATACCATTATGCTATTAAAATAATATTGCCTGATATTTGCTGGCATTTAGTGTTTTTAAAGGCTCATTATTTGACTTTATCCACTTACTCTAAGGCTAACATGAAAAAAATCATTCCTATCTGAAAGATGAAGAAACTGAAAGACTTGCTGAGCACAGAGATCTGGGTAGAAGAATGAAACTTGTGTGTTCTCACTAAATTCCGTGCACTTTTTATTTTCTTTTTTTGTCAGTCAGAAAGCTTGAATTTGGGACCTGATGCTTTCCTGAGCTCTCTTGCTCAAGGCTAACACTCCACCTCTTGAGCCATAACACCATTTCTGGCTTTCTGGTGGTTAATTGGAGTTACCAATCTCACGGACTTTCCTGCCTGGACTGGCTTCGGACCATGATTCTCAGATCTCAGCCTCCTGAATAGCTAGGATTACGGGCATGAGCCACCAGTGCTGGTCTCTTTTTTTTGGGGGGGGGGGCTCCGGTCGGTCGTGGGGCCTGAACTCTGGGCCTGGGCGCTGTCCCTCAGCTCTTTAGCTCAAGGCTAGCGCTCTACTACTTGAGCCACAGCGCCACTTCTGGCTTTTTTCTTTTTGCTTATGTGGTGCTGAGGAATCGAACCCAGGGCCTCATGCATGCAAGGCAAGTGCTCTACCACTGAGCCACCTTCCCAGCTCCCAGTGCTGGTCTCTTGAGGCACTTTTTGTAGCCTGTCACCTGGCCTCTCTCCTGGAACTCTCATATTGTGTGATATCTTGTGCTGTTTTAGATCAGTTTTCTTGCTCTGTGGGCCTTGCCTGCTCAGAGTGCAGACACCATGGAAGCCAAGGCCCTCTTCCAGCACACTA